CCCGTATTCATCTGGTCCAAGAGCACAAAAGATAATATGGATAACTTTGAGTTGAGCTGGAACATTCTTGTCTTTCCTTCACTCCACAATCTTGGATGAGTGGAAGGTTTGATGTATCCGTCTTCTATAATATTTCATGCTCTCATATCACTTGTTTTAATGAACTACATCATCTTATTATTCCAATAAGCATAATTAGCTCCATTGAAGAAAAGAGGCTTGTTGACGGGCAATGAATCAAGATCAAAGTCGAAGTTTGAAGTAGAGGCCATTGATGACTTGATTATCGATATAAATCTTCCCGAATCGACTCAAAAGACGATTAAACCTTCAAATGAGTGAGGCTCTGATACCAATTTTTGAGTTAATCGATCGACGAAATAGCCAAGAGGGGTGAATTGGAAATTAAAAATTTGGCGGAAGCTTTTGCAGAAAATTAAAAATGTTTGCACAGCGATTTAAGTGGTTCGATTTTCTCAACTAAAGTCTACATCCACTACCTTAGCTATTCACACTAAAGATTTTCTAACAAATTCACTAATTTATTCTTTCTTTTGAGGACAAAGAGTAACATTACAACTCCCTCAAGAATTATACCCCAAATTCTTAAGCACTCTCTCTCCCAAAGAGAAATACACAAATTTCACAAACTTACAAGAAACCCTCACAAGGTAAGATGTTTGCGCAATTCTAGAACAAAGAAAGAACACTCAAGAATAATATAATTGAGCACAACAAGTGTTATTGAAAGCAAAAATGAATATTGAATGAAATAGGCTTAAAAATGTTCAAACTTGACGTTTGATGCTTTCTCTTTGATTCTTTCTTAATTCTCGTTGATTGTTATTGATCAATGGCTCCTAAGCTTGTTTAAATATACCTTGAATCACTTCTGAATGTTGGGGATCATTGGTGAAGTCAATAATACCGTTATTGTGTGAAAACAATTAATAAAACAGTTGAGGAACGTGGGGGGTATCGATACCTATCCATAGGGTATCGGTACTTGCAGTGTAAAATTTAAATATTTCGACCGTTATGGAGAAGAGGTATCAGTACCATCCAGGTAGGTATCGGTACCATCGGAGCATTCTGTTTTTCTCGGAACCAAAATTGTCATGTGGTTATCGTACCATATAAGGGGGTACCGGTACCATCCGAGCAATCTGGTTTTTCTTGAATCCCTTCTATTTAAAAATTATTTTTGGCTCGATTTAGACTCAAAATACTTTGTAATATTTATTTTAAAAATATTTTGAGATTAAAACATAATTTTACACTTTTTGACATTTGAAAAACTTGGAGTAATATTTTGATATTCTAATGGTTTAATTGAATATACATTTGAAAATGATTATAAAATCTTAAAATCCAATAACATTTAATTTGTTATATCGAAACATCAAAATGTTTTCAACAAAAACTTACAATTTGCTAGCAAAAAATGATTTTAGCCAAAAAATTGATTTACTAAGGGGAGATTTTATTTTTCACAAAATATGACAAATCAATTTTAAAGCAAATTTTCACAAAAGGTTTTTTATATCAAAGGCAAAATGTAACAAAACAACCCTAACGTTTGATAGTATTGTCAAATTTACCCTTATTGTTTTTTTGACACATTTGACCACTCATCATTTCATTTTGGGTCAAAAAAACCCTCGGTGGCATGTCCATGTGTGATACCACGTCATCATGTACCATGATCTGGACAAGCCACGTCAGTATCTTTGTCCACATGTATGTGTTTGGTCAGCATTAGGCGTTGACCATCAGTTGACTAACGGTTTCCATCCACTGAGGGCGTTTTTTACCCAAAATGAAACGTTGAGTGGTCCAATGTGTAAATAAAATAAGTGTGAGTTTGGCAATACTGTCAAACGTTAGGGTTATTTTGTTGCATTATGCCTATATCAAAAAGGGAGATATTTGAACTTACTTTTGAATTTTGATAAAACATAATTATTAAATGTTTTAAGTTGTTAAAATTTGTATTTCACGTTTTTATAAATAATTTGTCATAAATGATTTTAAAGCATTTTTAAGTTTGAAAAATAATCACAAGTGTTATTGAGTAAATTCACATTTTATAAATATTGTTTTAAAGCTCAAAACACTTGATTTTTAGCTAAAACCTCTTCTAGTCTCGAGATCAATATACCAGTCTTGATACCAAAATTCTAGAAGGCTTTTTTGGTAATGATACCATGGTCTTCGTATCGAGACCGGTGGGTGAGTAACGATACTCACACAACAATATCGATACTAATGGTTTAACAGCTATAAATTTTATGTTGGGAGGCTCGGTCTCGATACCAACTTCCTGTACCGATACAAAATGTGCAGGTGAGCATTAAATGCTCAAAATTAATTAATCAAACGGTTTTATTCAATCCCTAACAGCTTCAAACGGCTAGATTGATGTTAAAAGACATAAAAGGGACCAAGATTCAAATGAAGAACAACAAGAAAGTCAATTGCATGACCAAACCATCATCAATAGAGTTTTAGAGCAAAAATTGTCAAATTCTTTGTAACACACTTGTGAGCTACATTGTTAAACTTGTTCAAGTGTGATTTTGGGCGAGTGCTTAATTTGTGCAAACAAATTTGCCTTTGTGAGGTTTTTTCTTTTTATTTGCTAAATTTATAATTACTGTTTGGGAGAGTGTGTATTCAAGGTTTTGGGGTATAAACCTTGAAATGTTTGTAAGGTTACACCTTATCCTCAAAGGTTTGCAAATCTAGTGGATTTGAGAAATCCTTATTGTAGATGCTAAGGTAGTGGATGTAGACTTGGTTTAGAAGTCGAACCATTCTAAATTCTTTGTGTAAAGTTTTATTTTCGATTGATTCCACCACAAATTTTTAAAGACCAATTCACCCCCTCTTGACGGTTCTTCAGTTGATCGATAAAGCTAACATACAGTAAAATATTATAAAATATATTATTTTAATTATTTAAAATTTAATAAATAATTATAAATATATTATTATAAAATATATTATTTAACTATTTTAAAATATTAATATAATCAGGTCGAATCGGGGTGGTAAGAAGTGAAGTTGTTAAAGACTTAAATGTAAGTTTTACGATGAAATTTGCTTAGTGAAGAAATTATTACATATGAACTCATGTTATGATTGGTAATTAAGTTAGATTTTATTATAATTATAACAATTGAATATTACTTGATGATTATGCTTATTTAGGTAAGAATTCTTATGAAGTAAGGATTATTGATGATTAATTTTTTTCTCTATAAATATATATAGAGTAGACTAACTTAATCTTAGAATTTTTGGAGATAATTAGTTTGGAGAGAAATAGTTCCTTTTACGATCTCTATTACCGTTGAAGTTTATATTGGTCAGATGAATTTTATAAGGGTGTTCAAAGAGTGTTTCATAATACACTGGATGTTGAAGTCGCTAGTATTATTAAAAAATAAAAATATATGAAATTACAATAAGAGTTTATAATTATCATCGTAAATTAAATACATAATTTGGACTTTTCCTATAACATTGAAACTAGTCACTTTAGATTATATAAGGACCATACATGGAAAATGTTAAAAACCCAACCAATAGACTAAAATAGATACGAATAAATTTGATTGCATCAGAAAACGAACCACAAAAGAGAATTAAGCTAAAGAGCACCGAGAACTGCAATTAGAGTCGAGCATCATGAGAAACTATCCATAAAATACAAAATCACGCATCCAATTTCAATCCAAAGGTCCATAGCAAAGAAGATCAACAAGATTTCGATTAAGCACCATCTTGATCAGTCGTTGTGTCGTCAAATCCAACCCTCAGAAAATATAAATAAAAGAATGGACAAACGACCAAGAAAAATATCGAAAAACATGCCGCGAAGGCAGAGGTAAACGTGTCACAAATGTAAAGATAAACGTGCAACACATGCATAATTATTTTTATTAAAAAAAAAAAAAAAAGAGAATCGACGGTCGACAACTAACATCAAAACCGGTGTCGTCACCCGCTAAAGAAAATCAAATAATAAAAAGTTGATATGATCTATAAAAAATGATACAAACTCAAAGAAAAAATAAGAAAAAAAAGGAAGAGAAAGAGCAAAAACAATAAATCTTGTTTTCCATATAATTTATTTCATATTGATCTCATTTTTTATTATATTTTTACTTTCAATACCCTCTATCGTCAACTTAATTCTATCTCTGATTATTATATAGATAATAATAAATTAAAGATATGATACAAATTATTAATATGTCAAAATTTAATATACAATCATAGCTAAAATGACATTGCAAATAAAAAATGTCGCACCTGCATTAATTACACAAATAAATGTGTTCCGAGTATTTGGACTTATTTGTATCTACTCATATTCCATGCTTCATTGTTCCCGACTCGATTCCATTCAAGTTTGAAATCAATAAGAACAACTAAAATAGTCGCAGTCAGTTAGGTATATACGGATATTCGTTCCATGACAATTTTAAATTATTTTATATTTTTTATTAATAATTTATTTTTGTTTCTAAAATTTTATGAATCTATTCTCTTAAAATATTTAGAAATTCGCGCCTAATATAAAATCATGTACCCATTACTACGATATTGGCCATTATTGACAAAAATACTGAATAAAATCCCTCAGGCTACCTACAGTATCTTCTTTTTTTCATTATAAAACTTGCTTTTCCTCTAACTACTAGAAAATGTGCTTTTCTTGCTCCAATTTTATAGTGTAAAATCCGCGTGTTGCTATCCCTAAAGTAATACTTCCCTATCGACCTTCATAGCTCATTTTATTCCTTTTCATCTCTGCAATTCAACAGTCACCCGTTTGAGTACTCTCTAGTAAGTATGTCCATATTGATTTGATATCTTCAAACAAGCAAAGTTATTTATGGTACTATAACACCATTTGGTCTCTATGATTAAAGTCTTGAATTGTTTTGTTTTTCACGTAATGTCATGTTCCAGGAAGGCCTTAATTATTTATGGATAACAAGCAGCTCGAAGAGAGGTTGATTGCAGAAAGAGGAGAAGAAGATTTGAAAACAAGAGTTTGGATTGAATCAAAGACGATATGGAGAATAGCATTCCCATCAATATTGTCAAGGGTAACTTCATTTGGAATGGTGGTCGTGACACAGTCATTTCTCGGTCACATCGGAGACGTCGAGCTCGCCTCGTATGCAATCATACAAACCATTATCGTCAGGTTCATGTATGGGATACTGGTAACATCTTGTTTCATTCTTCTCCTTATGTTTCATTCTTCTCTAATCATAAAAAATGTAATATCTTGTTGTCCATGAATGGAAGATCGGCATGTCGAGTGCAACCGAAACTCTATGCGGGCAAGCATTTGGGGCAGGGCATCACCACATGATGGGAATTTACCTGCAACGGTCATGGATCGTCGATGGCATTACAGCAACAGTATTGCTACCTCTCTTTGTATTCGCGACCCCGATCCTTCAGATTCTCGGACAGGAGGAGGAGCTCGCGGTTGCGGCAGGGCCGATTGCTCTGTGGTTCATCCCAATGATCTATAGCTTCGTCATTTCCATGACTATATCGATGTTCTTACAAGCGCAGCTCAAGAATTTGATTGTCGGGTGGCTATCGATGGCATCATTCATCATTCATGTGTTCTTGTCATGGATGCTTGTGAACAAGTTTAAGTGGGGAGTTAATGGAGCAATGGCATCCATGAATATGTCTGGTTGGATAATGGTTGTGGGACAATTGGTTTATGTGTTTGGAGGGTGGTGCCCTAATACATGGACAGGATTCTCAAAAGCCGCTTTCTTTGATCTATTGCCTGTTGTGAAGCTCTCCATATCCTCTGGTGCCATGATTTGGTAATAATCCTAATTTCCATTGCTTTTACAAATAAATTTACATCCCCGTTAATATTTTAATTCTCTCAAATTGATTTTTTTGAATAGCTTGGAACTATGGTATTTTTCCATCCTCATCATAATGGCTGGATACACCAAAAATGCAACAGTCTCCATTGCTTCTTTCTCCATCTGGTAATCAAGAGATTAATTTCCCTTTTGTACTTCAATTTAGTAAAAATCATTTGCTTTTATATCTAAAAAATTTATTAGTGCAGCCTGAATATCTATGGATGGGAATTTATGGTCTGCCTAGGCTTCCTAGTTGCAGCAAGGTATATATTATCTTCCGAAAACCATCTCTTAAAAATGATCGTATGAATCAATTAAAATTCGGTTTTTTTCGTCGTCAGCGTACGAGTTTCGAATGAATTGGGGAAAGGAAGTGCAAAGGCAGTGAAATTTGCAATAAAAACAATACTAGGCACTTCAACAAGTATAGGAATTGTACTGTGGACATTATGCATGGTTTTCAGGAATCAAATCGCCTACATGTTTTCTGATGATGAACAGGTTGCAGAAACAGTCTCAAGTCTTTCAATTTTTTTCGCTTTAGCAATTTTAGTCAACAGTGTTCAGCCAGTACTCTCAGGTAAGCTTATTGCCTTTGCTTATGTTGATTTTATCTTTCCTCATTCCATCTAAATTTATTTCACATGAATATTTATATATAATACAGGTATTGCCACTGGAGCTGGTTTGCAAAGCACAGTAGCATATGTGAACTTGGGAAGCTATTATGCCATAGGGATACCTATAGGAATTTTGCTTGGATATGTTGCTGATCTTCAAGTTAAGGTAAATATGATTCGTTAAATCTAGGCGATCTTTCATCTGCGATCGTTTTACAGTCGTTATTATCGTGCTTTCACCATGTTCTTACATGTATGATAAGTTCTAATTCTGTAATTTTATTTAGGGGCTGTGGATTGGATTAATGAGTGGGGTGGCAACGCAATCGCTTATTCTTGGTTGCTTTGTATGGAAAACAGATTGGGAAGAACAGGTACAAGTACTCAAATATTAAATAATAAATATTTTGGGTTAACTACTTCAAATACCACTCACCTTTAGGCTCGAGTTCGTTTATGACACTGAAATTTTCAATTTTGTCAATTTTAACACTAACGTTTATGTTTAGTTATAACTGACGTTTAATTTAACTGTGATATCAATTTCGCCGTTAATTCATTAACGACACGACGAAGTTTATGTTTTGGTGAGAGAGCCACATCATCACAGTCACGACGCAAAGTTACCATGTCATCGTTCCATTAATGGATTAACGGTGGAGTGGTATAATTATAACAAAAAACATAAACGTCATTGTTACCCGAGCCTAAAGGCAAGTGATATTTGAAATAATTAACCCTAAATATTTATGATAATAATAAAAATGATTATTTTATTTGAAAAATATTAGAGTTATTTGATTTCTTGTGACAGGTAAGAAATGCATCTGAACGTCTCAATCGATGGTTAGTGAAACCAACTGCGGATGATAACCAGAGTCCATTGGATGCTTAAGACAAATGAGTAATATGCATTGTAATATAATGTTGAAAGTCTGTTATTTACTACTTAATTGTGCGTACGATTCCCATGAATTAATATAGGGTAAAATATATAAATGGTCACTGAACTTTTTAGATGATTGCATTTAGGTTCCATAACTTTTAAAACTTACAATACAGTCACCAAACATTTAGTTCATTTGCAATATGGTCCCCGACATAACGGTCATTTCTCTGTTGTTAGGGTAAATTATATAAATGGTCATTGAACTTTTTAGAAACTTGCATTTAGGTCCCCCCAAACTTTTAAAACTTGCAACACAATCATCAATTATATTATAAACCCCAAATTCCAAAATACTTCAATTACATTCTAAACCTCAAATTCCAAAAATACTTCAATTACATGACAAACCCCAAATTCATAATTCATTCTCAAAATCTTCCATAACAAATTAAACTTGAAGCAGCAACTCTAAACCCTCAAAACATAACCCTAAATACTAAATTTCCCCACCAATTAACCCAACATAATCAACAACATTTAGTTCATTTTGGGTCCATAACAATAAGTGATTATGTTGGGTTTAGGATTTAAAAGTTAGATTTAACCAACTATAAGTGAACAATAGTCAATTCGATTCGAAAAAATTATTTTTCGACTTGAATTGATTCAAAAAAAATTGATACAAATTGACTTTGAGTTTTAATTTCATCAACTCAACTTAAAAAAATTTCAAGTTAAAATCGAGTTGTAAAATACAACTCGAATATCTAAATTTTTTTAGTAATTAGTGAATTAATTTTTAAGTTTGAGTCAAGTCCCTTGACTCTATATTATACATGTATATCATATGAAAAAATATGAAGAAATATATGTATTGTATATGGTTAAAAAACAATTTAAATTAGAATCAAATAATATTATAGTATTATAAATATTTATAATTAAATTTAAACAGAAACTCAAAAATTCAATTCAATTCAATTTGACTTGATTTAAATTTTATAAACTCAAGTAGAAAAAATTTCGAGTCAACTATTTTATAAATTGAACTGAATTAAAATCTAATAATATTATAATATGATAAATATTTATAATTAAATTTAAACATAAACTCAAAAATTCAATTCAATTCGACTTGATTTAAATTTTAAACTCAAATAGAAAAAATTCCGAATCAACTATTTTATAAATTGAATTGAGTATTTAGGTCCAATATAACCCTAAACCCAGCATAATCGCTCATTGTTCACTTATAATTGGTTAATTTTTTTGAAATGATTATGTTTTTAGGGTTTGGAGTTATTATCTCAAGTTCAATTTGTTATGACAAATTTTGAAAATGGATTATGAATTTGGGGTTGGGCATGTAATTGATATATTTTTGAATTTGAGGTTTAGAATATAATTGAAGCATTTTGGATTTTGGGGTTTAAATGTAATTGATGACTATGTTGCAAGTTTTAAAAGTTGGGGGACCTAAATTCAAGCTCCTGAAAAGTTTAGTGATCATTTATATAATTTACCCTAATGGTAGTGAAACGGCCATTACATCGGGGACCATATTGCAAACGAACTAAATGTTTGGTGATTATATTGGAAGTTTTAAAAATTGGAGATCTAAATGCAAGCATCTGAAAAGTTCAGTGACCATTTATATACTTTACCCTTAAATATATGCACCTTTTTCACTATTTAAGTTGAAAATCCAACTTGTAAAATTCGTCAAATAAGCCTATCGGTGCTCGATGCACCTGTCAGACCGTAAAACAGTGCTCGAATCAGACCCTCTCAGGTCCCTCAATACTCCTCCAACCCAAGCTGCCCTCCTTGAAAGCGTCGTAGGCATTAAACTTTACCTGGCCAATACTCGGTGGAGACCAACCTCCCGACTTAACCGACATGATGCCCCCTATCGAGCGTGCGTTTGTGAGGCCGGTCAGATCATCAAATCTCCTTATATGCTGCAACATTTTCTTGGAAGATTCCAATTCACAACAGAGCTCTCAATTTTGTTATATAAACCAACTCCTCCAATAATGAGCACTTGCTTCAAAAACACGTTCACAATCAGAGACAGATGTATGATTTTATGCCATGGACGAATCTCTAAAATAATCAATGATATCATTCTCATCCTCACCCTAAGTGACTATGAATCACAACAAGAACAAACAGAAACAAATTACAGGTCTTCTAATATTGCGTTTTGAAACCTCGCCATGGAGGCTCTTATATTGTTGCCTTGAATACTAGCTCCCATCAAGACATTTGATGGATCTTTTCGTGTCCTCCATTCTTATGAAGTGAACAAAACCGAATCTGTTATCTCCCTTATTTCTCTTTTTAAGGATGAGCGAATCAACTACCTCGAAAATAAGCCAAAGCCCTTTGTGGTGAAGAAACTCTAGAAGTTGGTTGAAAGGGAAGGAAGACAATCAACGTTACACAATTTCCATGGAAAGTAAATTTATTGTAATATCAATGGAAATTAAGAAATAAAAAAGAAGAAAAGAATCGGATTATTACCAAATCAAGTGACCTGAGGATATGCAGTACATGAAAGAGATGAAAGAAACAGGGTTTTAAAAAATCCTCATGGGTCATATACACCAACAGCTGGACAAACCAGATATTCATGGCTGCCCACTTAAACATCCGTATGGGAACAACGAACGATGCCATCTGACAATCAAGAAAGATTAGTGTTGCCAATCTTTTTGTTTGTCAAGAAGCTGCAATATTATTTCACCATTTTTAGAAAGTTGTACAACATTCATAGCCTGGAGAGCCTTGTTTGCTTCATCCGGGGATTGAAACTTGACAAACCTAGAACCCCTTGTCATCATGCAAAACCTACGTGAAAACTAGGTTTGATGAGAAGAGGTTTGGGGTTTGCAAACTTTCATTAATTCCCAGAAGATTGTAACAAGGCTATGGATGGTGTACAACTTGATAAAAGTGGAGAATCGCAGTTTCTTGACAAAAAGATATGCAAGACCAATTCTTTATTGGAAATGGGTCTCTCAGATAAGGTTTTCCTTCCTTCTGGCCCAGTGAGGCTTAGACGAGACCTGTAACACCCTCAGACCGATGCGAGTGACTCGATCTGATCCGAGGTGTCACATTAGGGCCACCGGAGTGACCCATAGTAAAAATCCAGGAAAAATTAAAATTTCTGTTAAAACGTGTAAAATCATAAAACAATTTATAATTAAAATACAAGTTTAGAAAATCATTCATATATTACAAACAGAATTAAAATCACACAAGTTTCAGACTTAGCATAAAAATCAAATGTGACCTACATGCCCTTTAATTACACTTGTACCATACTCTTCAACCCAAGCCAAAGGAACTCCCATTACAAATGTGATAGCTGCACTAGATCCATTTTTTTAACGATGGTGAGTAAAAAAGTGAGCTTTGGGAAGCTCAGTAATACAAAACTACCAAGAGATGCTGAAAGACATATAGATAAATGGGAAAACATTAAATTTCTTTATTGATTCAGACATCTACAGGTTTTCGTGAGGAGCTGAGGTTTCACTGATATTTCTTCAAGTAAAAGACAAGAAGCTTACAGTTCAGAGAAAAAGTTCAGAAGACCAGGTTCAGGATATTGGAATAGGAAGTCTAGTATGTTTCCACATAACCTGAATAAATAAAACCATAGATTATAAATAGTAATATTTTGTTTCAGTAAAACAAATTTTTACAATCAGTGTAATATCATCTATCCGAATACTATATATGCAGTCCCCCAGTACTACATCCACAAGGGCTTACCCTAAGCACAAAGCAAAGGAGCCACCCTAAGGGAGTACCTTGGGGCCTATGGGCCTACCCAAGGGTCACCTTAGGTCCGTAAGGAATTATCAGCTTGATCAGAGCTGAACCTCCATACTCCAGACTCCTACCCATACAGTATCCAGTAGAAATCAAATTTAGTAATACCTTATAATATCAAATCATGATCCCGTATAATATTCTAAGGATCCTCTTCACTGCATTATAATGCTCTTTGCCTGCATTCGCCATGTACCGACTAACCACTCTCATTGCTTGTGCAATGTCTGGTCATATGCATATCATAGCGACATTAAACTTTCCACTGCTGATGCATATGGTACTCGAGACATCTCCATCCTCTCTTATTCACTGACAGTACTCATACTGGAGGATATTTTGAAGTTAATAAGAATAGGGGTATAAATATTTTTACAGTCTTGCATATTGAATCGTGACAAGATATGAGAAAAAATAACAGTAGTTTGAAAAAAAGATGAAGTTGTTCGAAAGAAAGAAAAAAGAGAGAATATATGGGAAAAACAAAACAACAACAAAATATGTGAAAGAGAAAAAAATCATTTCAAAAGGAAAGTTGTTGTTTGATGGTTTGTCTTTTTATCTTGTTTTGCTTAATGTTTTGATGGAGTTGAACTTGTTATTTGTTAGTTCATTGCCTCGAATTTTAGCCATATTATTCAGCCTTTTTCCCTACTTTTACCTTAGCCCTGTTATAACCAATAAAAGACCCTTTGATTTATGCATCTTGTTCTTATTAGTAGTGGAGATTTGATTTACTTGCAAGCCTAAGGTAATATCATGTCGATTCTAACATTTAGTATTTCTAGACCCCAAACAAATTGAGTGATTTGAGTGAATCCCGATAAGGTGTTGAGTTATGGGCATTGAGATTAATGAATGAATGGATGTTACAATTACATTTAACTTTTTCCAATTGGTGATGTTCAATTGATTTGTGTTTTGACTTGAATAATTATTGTGGTCTCCACCTTGCTTCCTTGAATGTGAAACTCGAAAAGAAAGGTAAATGGATTTTTTGACTGATTTGATTATTTTATACTTGAGGTCAAGCATGAGAAAAGTGAGGGGGAATTTGATGAGTGTTCTTAATCGGTAATATTTTCTCGTTAATTCTTCGATCTTATGAATTTATTGCTACTAAGTTGGTTTTGTTTTGCTTATTTTTGTTCAGGGTCATA